CAGCTACCTAATTGTACTTAAAGCCCAGTCACCACCCAACAATGAAACTTCAACACAGAGATTATTACAGAGTTCCACAAGCAGTCATACACAGAGATTGTGAATTGCCCAAGCCTAAGCGACACATCTAGAATGCAACCTCTACACCTAAGGCTCATGGAACATAGAACAATGGATGAAGAGAACAATAATGCATCTTTCAGTTCTCATCAGTGAAGCTCCCTCATGCAACAGAGGGCCAGTAACACAAAAGATCACAAAGGCCAAAACATAGAGAATAAGAGTCTACAGAGTGTGGGTTCTTAGAACTCCTATATTAAAATCCAACCACCCAGGGCTCAGAGACCATTGCAGAAGAGGGAGCAGAAAGATTGTAAGAGCCAGGGAGGAGGTACATGACCATATGGAAATAGAGTCCTACAAGTCCTGGGACCATTCTTATATGAACCTACAGCAATGGTGTCAGCATGCACAAGACCCATGCAAACTCAAGCAGACAAAAACCCAGCACAGAACTGTGGAAATGGACAGCAGGTCCCAATCTTAGTTGAGGCATTATTGGCAACTGATTACTGCTGGGTGTGGAAGAGCTGATCTTAAAGGGAGGGTCTCTGGATAGACTGACTAGACCTCAGTGAATAAACTTGCATTGAGGGACATCTAGGGACACTAACTTGACATGATAGGCTTTAACACAAATGACAGCATGTATGAAATCCTGTGGGGGCGGGGCACGGGCAGTTGCCAGTGGGGAAGGGGATGGCTCAGTGGATAAAGATGCTTGCCACACAAACCTGACAACCTGAGTTTTATCCCTCGAATCCACATAAAGTTGGAAGGAGAGAACTGATTTCTACAAAATTGATCTCTCCTCACCATGTCCTCCATGTGTGCAGTACACACGCGCGCGCGCACACACACACAATGTAAACACAATAATTTAAAATATTTTTCCAACTTTACAAGCATATGTTCTTTTTAATATAATAAGGGAATATTAGAAAAGCTAGACCTGGAAGCAGTCCTCACCAAATGGTAATCGTTTGGCAACTCCCATCACTGGCGCTGTTCTAATATTTGGAGGCTGTGGAAGGAAGCATCCCCCATTCTTCTCTTGGGGCTTTGGGTTGCTTCCAGTGTTTCATTATTGTAGATAATGCTAGGATTACAGCCATTATATGGAAGGCCTCTTTTTTCATATATTCAATTATTTTCTCAGCAGTTTTCCAGAAACAATATCACTATGTCAATAGGTATGAATATTTTTGTCATTCACAGTGCATAGTTCCAAATTGCTTCTCAGTGGGGCTGTACCAAAACATACTACCAGAAAGATCTTGCCAACACTAGAGTTTATGATTGCATTCAGTGTTTGCTAATTTAGCCAGCAAAGAATGTCACCTCATTGTTTTGGTCTGCCTTCCAAACTGAGCAATCTTTCTTACAGGTTGATTAGTATTTTTTACTTGTGAATTTTGTCATTTATCTATTGGTGGTTTTATATTTTCATTTCATCCTTGTACAAATTCTATTGAAAAATAATGACACTTTTTTATGTTGTCCTAGATTGGCCGTACCTAAGCTGTTGTTCCCCTTCTGAGTTAGTGAGGATTTTTGTTTTGTTTTTCCTTCTACATTTGAAAGCTTCAAATTGTTATGTAGTCAACCCTATCAGTCTTGTGATTTTCCTTCATTTCTTTCAAGTTTAGAAAATTACCCTCCCAGCCCTCAAGCAGCAGTTTGGTAAATGCTGGATTCTGTTTTGTGCCAGGTTGTTTTTTAAGGTTCATTCATTCATACCTTTTTAGCTCATTAGTAGCTTTGCATACTTCTGGTTTGTGGTGAGGATTTAGGTTCCTTTCCCCCCACTTACCACTGTTGTCTGTTTCCCCATTAGTTTATGATTCCCCTTCTGTCATAAGCTCATTTTTGTCCACTTGCTGGGATCTAGTTCTTGTTGATCCCTTCAGTTGTGTATCTGCTGATAGCACATTTTTGTTGTTGTTGTTGTTGTTCATTTCAGGGGTTTGTTTTTTAAGATAGTCTCAAACCATAGCTCAGACTGGCTTCAAACTCACTGTGTAGCCCACACTGACTTCAAACTTTCAGCAATCCTCCTGCCTCAGCCTCCTGAGCATTGAGACTACAAGTACTAGCCACCATGCTCAGCTTATAACATTTAAATGAGCATTTCTCCTATTTCATTGGTTTTAAGCTTACTTTCTGAATTTTGTTTTTTAATTTGTGTCTTTGAATGTAACCAAAATCCTCTTCACACTTAGAGCTCCTTCTGAGGAGAGAAACCAGTTGTTTGAAACCTGATTGTTTTCCTTATCAGTGGACAGAGTAGGCAAATCAATCCAGAAGCTAGGTCATTTGGTCAGGAATAAACATTCAGGTGCTTTTTTTCTGTGGGGTGGGGCAGTTTACCAGGAGAGGCAGGGACGCTTCTCATCAAGGGGTCCTCAAAAGAGGATGTGGTATTAGCCATCCCTAATGAGTCCCATGCATTTTAAGCAACAGGTACTGTGATTTTCATTTGACAGTTTCATAATGGTCAAATCTGAAGCTTCGTGTGGCTTAGCTGGGCCTGCAGGGGCAACATAGACTGGAACAGGAAGGCTGACCTTTTCTGCTTACACCAGGCCTCTGGACTTGCCAGCGTCTCCTGTCAGGGTTTCCAAAGAAGGCTGCCTTTGTCACACAGGGAGGGTGCTCGGGAGAGAACTGCTGCTCACCCATAAATGAGCCCTCGGCCAAACTCCCAGAAATGCCAGGAATCTTGCAGTCTGCTGGCTCTTTTTTGTTTCTCGCATCTTTGCTTTCTAATACCAGCATTATCTATCAGGGCCGTTCTCTAGTCAAACAATATACCTGTTAATTCAATTCAATTCTCCTGTCAGTGACTATAATTGATATAATTGCCATGTGACTTTAGGATTTTTTTAAATTTTATTTTTAATTATGAGTATATGTGTGTGTGTGAGTATGGGTTTGTACACGAGTGCAGTGCCTGTAGAGATCAGAAGAGGGCACTGGCTCTCCTTGCGGCTGGAGTTACAGGCAGTTGTAAGCAGTGCAGTGTGGGTGCTGGGAACCAAATCTGTGTCCTCTGCAAGAGCAGTATGCATTCTTAACCTCCAAGCCATCTCTCCAGTCCCAACTTTAGGATTTTTAAATTATAAAAATATTAAAAGTAGAAGAGGGCATGGAGTAATAAACACCCTATGCATATTACCTAGATTTCACAGTCATTAACTGTATTGGTTACTTTTCTCATTTCTTTGACAAAAGCAACTTTAAGGAAGGGTCTATGTGGGCTCATGGTTTGAGAGTGCAGTCCATCAGGGTGGGAAGGCTGCTTACTTTGCATCTGGAGTCAGGAAACAGAGGAGGTGAATGCTGGTGCTCAGCAGATTTCCTTTTTTACCCCCTTTTATCCACTCCCTGACCCCAGCCTGTGGCGTGGCACCATCCTTCAAGATGGATCTTTCCTCCTCCATTAAACCTCTCTGGAAACACCCTTAAAGACACACTCAGAGGCATCTCCTAGGTGACTGTAGATACAGTCAAGCTGGCAATGAAGACCAGCCATCACATTAACATTTTACCGTGTTCTTCATCCCCCTTGTTGAAGTATTTAAAAGCAAATTACACAATGATTAAAGATCTAATCAGGAGCTGGAGAGATGGCTCAGCGGTTAAGAACACTGGTTGTTCGTACAGAAGACCCAGGTTCAAATCCTAGCACCCACATGGCAGCTAACAACTTTCTGAAACTCCAGTTCCACGGGATCCAACAGCCCCTTCTGTCCTCCGCAGGCATTGCGCGACACAGGTGCACTTACCTACACAGGCAATACACGCATACACATAAAATTAAAATAATAAATAAAATATTTTAAAAATCTAACCAAAGGCTAATTGTTACAGTTTATTGGTTTTTTATCTTAAGCTTTTAAAAACCTAGATCTTTCCCCTCTAACATTTTGGGTGTGGTGTCTGTTGTTCCTTCACAGGGTCTCCTTATGTATGCCAGGCTGCTCTAGACCTTTTTGTGTAGCATAGGTTGGCTTTGAACTTCTGATTCTCTTGCCTTAGCCTTCCCTTCCAAGTGCTAGGATTCCAGGTATGGACCACCACCTCCAGCTTCATTGATTTTGTTTTGTTTTGTTTCCATGACATGAACTTATAATAGTTCTTGAATCTCTTCAAAAGAGTTTGTGAATTTTTCCATGGATTCTTCCTATGGAAGAACTATATTTCTTTTGCTGCCTTTGCATGGTTACTGTTAACCTAAGGATTTTTTAATTTATGATTTTTTAATTTTAAAATATTAAAAAATTTATTTCATCCAGCTGGGCGTGGTGGTGCATGCCTTTAATCCCAGCACTTGGGAGGCAGAGGCAGGTGGATCTCTGTGAATTTGAGGCTAGCTTGGTATACATAGCAAGTTCCAGGCCAGCTGGGGCTACAGAAAGACCCTGTCTCAAAAAGACAAAAAAATAAATAGATAAAAATAAAAATATTTCATCCAACTAGCATCAGTAACTTTGAAACAGATGGTGGTCTGACATTGGCCAATAATGTTTACTGGAAAAAGGAATTTCTTTCCTTCATTTTTTAAAATTTATTATTTTTATTTTTTTTATATGTATTAGTGTATTGCCTACATGTTTGTAAGTGCACCTGAGTCGTGCAGTATCTGTGGAGATCAGAAGAGGATGTTGGATTCCCCCTGGAACCAGAGTTATGGATGATTGTTAGCCACAATGTGGGTGCTGGGATTGAACCCGAATCTTCTGCAAGAGTAGCCAGTGCTGCTAAACACTGAGCCATCTCTCCAGCCTACCTTCATTTCTTTTAAATATCAGATAAAACTATTTGGCATTTATATGGAACTTATTGGCTTAAAATGGATACAAAATAATCAAGATGGGTTCTGAGTATCAGCTATGAATAAGATTAATGTAAATCCTAATACTCTTCTTCATGTTCAGTTTGCAGAGAAATTCCAGGAGGTGAAAGAAGCAGCCAGGCTAGCCAGAGACAAGTCCCAGGAAAAAATCGAGACCTCAAGTAATCATTCCCCAGTAAGTAATTTGTCCCAGAAATAAACCCCAGTGTGATCAGTGATTGAGACTTCTCATTCCTTGTCACTCTTGGTAAGAGGTAGGGAATTTTAGCAATAGGACATTTTAAAGGCTTTTTCAACTATTAGCCTGCTCACAGTGAGATTGATGTGACATGTTTTTATGAGACTCTTGAATTTCTCAGGATGTGGTACTGTGTCTGACAGAAAACCATTTATGCAATTACAGCTGCCAGTTCTCAGCCCATGAAGGATTTATGTAGTCACTATGTGTAAAGGTCAAGTGTCCAGGGCTAGAGATGTAGCTTCGTGGCAGAGTGCTTGCCTAGCGTGCTCAGGGCCTGAGTTTGACCCCAGCACTGCCCACTCCCCCTCAAAAAATTGGAAGTGGGCTTGATTTAGTGCCACTGTGTCTGTAATTACTGGAAAAGGCACACTGTGCTGCATCAGGGATCAAAGTTGTGCTTTCTTGACACCTCAAAACCTCAAGGTAGACAATGTCTTATGCAGAAGTGACAAGGTAGTGTGTTGGAAGTCTTCTGTAAGATAGTCTTCAGTCAGTGCAGGCTCCTCGAGTCCTCTAAAGGAAAAAACTTGATACCAGAGAGTTCCTAACCTCTCTCTGACAGCTCTGTCTTAGTCATAAGAGATCTGACTTTGCAGAATTTGAGTAGTCTTGTCTGCTTAAAAGCATGATAATGGCTATAAGGGACTCATTTTAAGCTAAGATTAAAAAAAAAACACCAACACACCTGATGTTTATGCTAGTAAGAGACAGCTTGACCATATTATGTTGAGGCAAGGAAAGGGAGACCCTAGGAGCAGAGTAGGGGGTCTAGAAGAAGCATAATGTTTGAGCCACACAACCAGGAGTGTGTCTACCTTACACACTTCTGCAGGAAATATGGGGATGAGCTTGGGGAAACTAGGAAAGATCTGGAATCCTTCCTTATTTTTTAACCATTATACTAACTATGTGGTTAGCAGACATTGGCAGACATTGGCAGTGTTGCATGACTATTGATCTGGAGTTGACAGGGTCATGTGAAGGTAAGGGTGACTGACGGTAGGAAGTTGCAGGGAGAGTGGCAGGTAGCCACAGGGGAAATAAAAAAGAGATGGCTATATGGGGCATCCCAAGATGTCTCACAAAGGCAGAACCAAGGTCAGTCTTAAGTTATATTCCAATATTTTCTTCTGGGCTCACCATAGTAAAGATGCCCCATGTGAATTTAGGGGAACAAATGTGGGACGGATGGGAACTTTCCTGCACCTCTCTAAATAATCTTTAAATTTAAGTGATACTGTTTAATTTAGTGTACTAATTATGGAGCAGTCTCTGAGTAATCATGTAGGATAAATTCTTGAAATGGAAATGTTGGTTAAAACTATGGGCATTTTTTTTTTTTTTTTTGTCTTTTTGAGACAGGGTCTCCCTGTAGCCCCAGCAGCTGCCCTGAAACTCATTGTGTAGACCACGCTGGCCTTGAACTCACAGAGATCCGCCTGCCTCTGCCTCCCAAGTGCTGGGACTAAAGGCATGCGCCACCACGCCTGGCTTTGGGCATTTTTAAAGCTTACACTTATTCTGCAGAAATGGTACTTGACCTAGAAAGTTCTAATGCATTGTCTCTTTTTGAGTACCAGATTTATAGTGATATCTTTAAATCTTGGTATCTGAATTTCTCTAAGAAGTTTTATTTTAAAATTATCTGGTTGGATAAATACACCCAATAGCATATTATGTAGAAATGGGTTTTTGTCTCTGAGCTTAGGATTTATTTATCCTTCCTGATATTTCTCTAGATACAGGGATCATTGTATGTTTTCCTTTTTTTTGAAGCAATCAATTGCTTATTTTCTGGATTAGAAAATGAACACTATGACCAAGTTTTCCAAATAGTTGAGAATTTAAATAACCAATTACAAAAACACTTTATGTCCTCTTTAAAAAAATATAACCTACCAAGTCTAATTTGTGCTCCCCATATACTCATCAGTGTGGGGCCATCCACCTGAGTGTGGTCTACCTACCAGGGGCCACATCCTGAAAGTCCCCAGAAGCCATCAACTGTAGGTAGCCCTTCAGTTAGGGGTGGGGGCTCATGAACCTCTTCCTCTTCCATGCTAGAATGTTAATTGGCTTGATCTTGTGCAGGCAACCACAGGTGATGGCTTTATATATTTTAAAGATATTTTATTTTTATTTCATCTGATGAGTATATTGTCTGCGTGTGTATAAGTGCACCTATGTCATGCAGTGCCCATGGAGGTCAGAAATGGGTGTTGGATCCCCTGGACCTGGAGTTATAGATGGTTGTTAGCTACCATATGGGAGCTGGGACTCGAACCCTGGTCCTCTGCAAGAGCAGCCAATTCTCTTAACCCCTGAGCCATCTCTCCAGCCCTTTACATATTTTTTGACATGAACATTTGTGGACATATGCAGAACTTGGCAGAACTCTATAATGAACCTCAGTGACCAGTTGTTTTGTATATAACCCCCACTTCTACTCCCTATCCCATTTTTAAAAGCAAACCCCAAATATCTTAATATCTCCATAAATATTTTAGTATGTAACTCAAAAAAATGAAGACTCTTGAGTCAGTGAACTAATTCAGCAAGTAAAAGTGCTTGCATACAAGCCTGACAGCCTTTGACCTCTGTGTGCACACCTGCACTCACATACACATCAAACACACAATAAATAAAAATAAAATTTTTAATGAGGATTCAAGAGTTTTTCAAAATGGAAAAGATATTAAAATTTCACTTTTAATACCTTCTGCATATATTTTCTCCAAGTTTTTGTTTGCACTTTAATTTTGTTTATGACTTCTCTTTTGTAATGCAGAAATTTAAATTAGTCAAATTTATCCATGATTCCCTTCAGAAGGCCTCCTTTATATGCCTTTATGCTTATTGGAGGCTAAATAAGATCTTTCTAAGATCTTATCCAAGACTAGACGAGATTTTACCTGCTTGTGGTTTGGCTTATTACAGAAACCACTTCAGGATATTCATAAGAATGCTAAGTAGTAATAGAGCTGGCAAAAGCCATATCTAGTTCCTATGTTTTTAATAAATATGTTGATCTAACTCTCTAGCCCTAGGATTTTGTACATTGCCTCAGCATCTAATAACTTTTTCTCTATCCTCATTCATAATTTCTTAGTCTCTTTGTTGTTTATAACGATCCATTTATTGATTATAACTTCTGTCCTGTGGTATTTAAGGAGACCAGGAACTCAAACTTGGTAGGGATTGAACGTGAAAAAATAGGACTATAAAATTTGATTGAGAAAGCTCTGAGCAGTGGCCCCAGGTGTTATCTTGTCAGTAAAGATCAGAGTTTATGAATTCTATATGGAGTGTTCAGGACTTTTTCACTGTGTAATTGATAATCTTGGTTAGCCTCTTGCTGGTTTAGGCTACGCTGTGTTCTGGTTGGATGAGTTGGTTTGTCCAGACTCATAAACACAGTTTCTCATTATGCCTAATTTGCTGCCAATGTGAGGACAAGCAGTAACGTGTGAAGATAATTCACTTTGGCCAGGAATCTGGGTGTGAAACCCCATCTTCTACTCAGGCATCCAGCGTCAATGGGACAGATGATGAAAAGGCCTCACACGCAGGTCCGGCTGACACGCACCTCAAGTCTGAGAACGACAAGCTGAAAATCGCTTTGACACAGAGGTGAGACCTGTTTAAAATCCACATCCTGTTTCCCCACATTCCTGAAAGCCTTTCCTGCTGGGCAGGATTTCAAAAAATCAGAAAAGAAGGCTGGGTCCTGCTCAGAGCATCTAGTCCCTCCTCCTCCTAACCACAGAAGACCAGTTGGCTTCATCGTCCTTCCCTGTCAGGCCTACCATGTCAAAAATGACTTTTAATAAACTCCAATTCTGCTTTAAAAAATAAAAAAGCCTAGTAAACTATGCAAAATAATATGAAGTCACACAAAAATCAATAACATCACTATACAACAAATATAGGATAAAATTTGAAGATTTCCTCCATAATATGAATCAGTACCATAAAATACATAAGAAGAAAGTTGGTGAGAAATGTCTAGGACATACATGAAACAGAAACAGATTTTTTTTGGGGGGGGGGTCTTTTTGAGACAGGGTCTCCCTGTAGCACCAGCTGACCTTGAACTCACTGTGTAGACCAGGCTGACCTTAATCTCACAGAGATCCACATGCCTCTGCCTCCCAAACACTGGGATTAAAGGTGTGTACCACCATGTTCGGCTCACATGTCTGTTTTTAACTAATAGTTTATTTTGATGATGTTTTGAAGGGGAAACTCAAAGCATATCAAATTGTTGTTTTCACTTTAATAATGAAAATATACATGATTACAATTTAGAAAAAACATTTTGATGGGCCAGTGGCTCAATGGATAAAGGAGCTTTCTGTGCAAGCCTGACAACCTGAGTTTGATCCCCAGAACCTATATAAAAGTCAAATGTGGTAGCAGGGTATGGTGGTGCACACCTGTAGTCCCAGCACTTGGGAGGCAGAGGCAGGCGGATCTCTGTGAGGTCAAGGCCAGCCTGGTCTACATAGT